GCTCCTTCTCTACTACTTCTTCACAGCACTTCCCTGTGAAACCATTTTTGCCCTCAAATCCCCCCCAAACCCTGTAGGGGATGTGGGGATCCCAGGACCTCTGTGATGCCTGGGGGGGGGGGGGCACATGTAGTCCATGGACTGCACTTTGCCCACCCTCAAACTAAGTCTTAGGAGTGGTATGGTATTGGTATGGTATTGGGGAAAGGGGTATGAGCATCTGAGGAAGCCCAAAGGGCTGAACTGGGACTCCAGGAGTGCAAGATTTGATCCCAGGGCCTGAGGTTCTCTATCTCTGTTCTAGAAGACCCGGTAACTGAAGGAATGTTTACAGTCTGTGTTTTTAACATTTCATTTACCTTTAGCATCACTTTCACTTACCTTTCCTCCCCTCCTGCCTCCCAACAATCTGGGATGACATTTGTAACTATGGCCACCATGCTGGGAAATGGAAAATAAGATGCCCTCTCTAGGAAAGGAAAGAAAGTTTCTCCTTGTGGTTGAAATAATGCAGAGAAACTGAAACATGTCGCAGAAACTGATACATGTATTCAGTATGGCACTCTATTTTTTACCATTCACTGTGGAAAATCAAATTTCCCCTTTCATCACTGATTATAAAGGAGTATGGTGTAAGAGTCTGACTTCATTGTTGTTGTTTTTTTACTATAATCCAAATCTGCAGCTATTCTGTAGGTTTTAATGTAAACGCTCATTGTTTACATTTTCACCCCATTCAATATCCGAAGAGCTCAAAGTAAGTGATTCTACTCCTATGTTATTCTCACATGCGATTCCATCTTAATTCTATCTTCCCAACAGTCCTGTGAGATAGCTTAGTTGTCTCACAAAGCTGTCATCCATTTCAATGGAGTCGGTTCAAGAGAACTTGATATACTTGATATAAATTGCAACGAAGGAGGGGTTCATTTTTATTTTCATAATGTAACATATACCCCTTTCTCTCTCTCCCTACACTCACACTATAGATATAAGGCAGGCCGCTTCTGAATCAGTATCCCTCTCTTCGAACATTTCCTAACAGAGGGCTCTTTAGACTAGTAAACAGCATGCATTATGTAGCCATTCTGGTTTCTTAACAGATTTTTTGCAATAAGAAAAAAATATGAAAGAAGTGTGGGGAGAGCTGGCGGGGGGAGGAAACACCACCATTTGAAGCCTCAGTAAAATTCAGTTAATGTGGCAGGGTGACAGTGTGACTGAAAACCTCCTCTGAAACTGTTCTCTCTCTCTCTCATGCACAAACACAATCTGTATGTGTGTGTGGCACACGCATGCACACACACATACATATATAGAGAGAGTCAATACTGGGTTATGTCATATAAACAATAAACTAAACAGAATGCCGTTTGACTGCTTCTTCTGGGGAACTATAATCTTTCAGACAGACCCTGATGGGTATAAAATAATGATGACTGCCTACCTGCCCTCTGCAAGGATGTGTATATTAAATAAGGGATACTGTTTGCATAAGCCAAAACTCTTGCTGAACAGTTGCCATGTCCACACTTTTTCTATGTGAGCCCAGCAGGCACCTCTCTCTCTCTCTCTCTCTCTCTCTCTCTCTTGTGTCTCTCTGGCAACATTAGTCCTTCAAAAAACAAAAACAAAACTGCATATATCTATTGAAAGCATAGGTGGAAAGACATCCTCGGGGTGGAAAGACATCAACCTGAGCAGGAGAGAGGACATCTGCTTTGGCTACACCAGAGGTGGAGAACCTCTGTCCAGATGTTGCTGGACTCAAACTCCTGTATGCCCAAGTCAGCAGAGCCATGGATGGATGTTGTACGCTGCAGTCCAACACATCTGGAGGGCTACAAGTTGTCTGCCTGACAGTTTGCGGGTTGTAATTACGCAGAGCTTGGAAAAGTTGCCCTTTTAGAAAACTATTCCTGGAATTCCCCAGCCATCATGCCCATGTCTGCAAAGTAACATTTTCAACATTTTCTGATTGTTGACCCTAAACTGACTCTTGCAGGCTTTCCTCAGCAGAATCGCTACTGAAAATGATGGCTGCTGTTTAATCTTTCTATACTAGCATAACACAGACTTGGCTGTATGCAGAGAAAACCAAATTTCCTCCCTGTGACATATCTTATCTTCCAGGAAAAAAATCATCTCATTTTTTCCAATTGGGATAGGGGGTGTAAGAGATGATGCAGAAAGAAGGAGAACTGGGCAGGGGGGAAGGTTCTATTCATGAGCTCACAACCCTGGGTTAGCACTGTTAAGACTCTTCCCTGAGCACAGAGGATTTCCATGGCCTCTCCTGGGCTTTTCCAAAGCTTCAATATCCTCCGGAAGCCTTCTGCTCTGGCCAGGATCAAGTCAAGCCTACAGCAGTGGCTCCCAGGGCGGCAGGCAGCAGTGGCTTTGGAGATACTTAGCTGCTTGCATATTACTCGGAGCATCTTTGAGGGATTACAATACTGAGAGGAGGGGGTGAGGAGGGAGATAAAGAAAAAGCTCAACATATTTATACTAAATGCTCCCGAGCCCATGTAAACCGTATGCACACACACTCCAGACGAGAGTAGGTGGCCTGGCACAGAGATGGATCTGAATTGGGACTGATGCCAGGGCTCATTCTTTCTCTGCTCCAATTTAGGAAGCAGTGTTGTGTCTATTCAAAGCCTTGCCTAGAGATGGCAGTGATCCTTCATGTTGCACCCATACCCAGTTAGCAGAAAGAGCTTCACTTTAAGAGCATAGAGTCAAGCGGCTCAGGTAAACACACAAAAAGTGTGCACCTATGGCCAGCAGAAACAGATCACCTTCCATCTCTCCTAAACCCAAACTTCTGTCTCTTGGAGGGGATAGAGACACTAATGTGATTTCCTTCACTCCTCACTCTCATCCTCCAGAGATCCTACCTCAAGCTTCCTCTGTATACCTGTTGGATTACGACTCTGGAGAACAGGGTTCAAATCCTTACTCAACCATGGAAACCCACTGGGTGACTTTGGGCAAATCGAACTCTCTCATCCTCAGACGAAGGCAAGGGCAACCCTCCCCTCAACAAATCTTGCCAGTAAAACCCAACAATAGGGTTTTGTTAGGACTGCTGTAAGTTGGAAACAACTTGAAGGCACACAACAACAACAAATTTCTTCCCACTTTGAGTTTGGCTGGCAGAACTTGACATTTGGAAGCAGACCCAACTTTCAGAATCCAGATTTTCATTGTGTGTGGGGAGTGTGTGCATGGAGGGGATACACCTCCACAACACATTGCAAACCTGGAAGGAGGGTTTTGATCCTTCTTGCATCCCCTCCAGCAACTATGCCCTTCTTTGTTACTTGTTCTCCAACTAAAGGAAAGATAGTACCACAGTGGTATAATCCCAGATTCAATCCTTGGCATCTCCAGGTAGACTTGGAGAAAAAGCAAAGCCAAACCAGGCACCTGGCTGAAACTCTGGCATGCTGCTGCCAGTTACAGGAATGCTACTGAGCAAGCCTGACCAAGGGTATGACTCAGTGTAAGACAGCTTCCAGTGTTTCTCCATTTAGGAAGAAGGCTGTAGCTCTGTATCAGTGTCCCTGTTTTGCATGCAAAACGTTCCAAATTCAGTTCTTAGTATTTACATGAAAGACTAGGGGAGGGGAACCTGCCTGGAACTCTATAAGCCCACTGGTTATTAGTGCAGACCGTGGGTGGACACCCACACACTGGGTGGGGGCCAGATTTGGCACCCACACAGCAGAGCTCACTTCTGCATATTCAGCCGAACATGCAGGCTAGAAGTGACCAGGAGCTACTCCGGTTTTCACGTTGTCCTTCTTTTCACCCAGTTGTCAGATGAGTTTTGCACAAGTATTCAAAGGGTTTCAAAGTTGGCAGTTAAGGCACAATGTCACTCATGGTGAGGGTATTTTATTGGCTTTTTTTTTTTGTCAAAGGGAATTTTAAAAACGAGGGGAGTTTTGGTACTTTGGAGGGCTTGGGAAGCTATGGCAGCTGCAAAAAGATGGGGCAGGGGCACCATGCAATCCACAGGCTGCACTTTTCACACCCCAGTGTAGATCATACTGAATCAGAGGGACTCCAGATCTAACGTGGCATAAGGCAGCTTCCTTTAAAAAAGAAAAAAAAAACCCTGCCGTTGTGATACCAAATCATTTGACTGCAAATTAACCTTCCTGGTGCTTCCTTTGCTGAAATCTTCTTTTGAGGATTAGGGACAAGGCAGCCTGTGTGGAGTAATGGTTAGAGTGTAAGTCTAAAACTAAAGGACAACCATGTTCAAATGTCCACTGAGCCATGGAGAGAACTGGACTTTTTGCATTCTCTTACATTCTCTGGCTCAGCAAACCAACATCCCAGGATCACTGTGAGGATAAAAGAAGAATAAATTCACTTTGATTTCCTTAGTAGGAAATTTGCTGTTGTTGTTGTTATGTGCCTCCAAGTCATTTTTGACTTATGGAGACCCTAGGGCAGGCCTGCACAACATACGGCCCGCCAAAGGAGTTTGGACGGCCCATGAGGATGTGCAAGAACTTCAAGGTTCCCCTACTACTCGGCCTTTTCCTGAGGAGAGGAACATGTGGAGGAGGAAGGGCAAACACTGACCCTGCAAGGTTCCTCTGCTGCGCTGCTTTCTCCTGAGGAGAAGGCTATATGGTGGAAGAGGAGGATGGGCAAACACTCGCCCCTCACTAGGAGAAGGACAGGCAAAGCTCTTTTGCTGCTCAGCTTTCTCCTGAGGAGGGGTCCAGGCAGAGGAGGCAGCGGATGGAATTAATATTAATAATAATTAATTAATATTTAATTAAAACCTATTTGTGGCCCGAAGAAGTTTAGCCTATTTTAATTTTGGCCCCCACCTCCTGCCAAGTTGTGCAGGTCTGCCCTAGGGCAAGCGTATCCCAGGGTTTTCTTGGCAAGATTTCTTCAGAGGGGGGTTTGCTATTGCCATCCTCTGAGGCTGAGAGAGTGTGACTTGCCCAAGGTTACACAGTGGGTTTTCACACTCAAGCAGGGATTTTAACCCTGATTTCCAGAGTCAGAGTCCAACATTCAAACCACTACACCACAGTGGCTCTCAGGAAGTTTGGTGGAATTCAAGTTTGTAGAGGAAGCAAGAAATACAGACATAGCATACCCTGCAGCATCCTTGAAGAGCCTTCTACTTCTTTGTCCCATTATGAAATAGGAGGTTGAGGATGTTAATGGCGATAATGTGGTGGGGGTGAACAGAGCAGGCAAAATAATTTTATTAAGGTACAAATAGCTGGGTGTAGGCATTTAAATACCATGCTTTCAAACCACTTGGGACTTTAAAGATAAAAGCAAGCACCTTAAAATGGACCAAGCAGTGAACTGGAATTCTGGACTAGAAGGAAATCATTTGTTGCCAATCATTCAATTCTTTTTGTCTTTTTTTTTTATTTGCCCTTCTCTTCAATTCCCCTTCAGATGCTTGGTTTTTAATACTCTTTCTGCCCCTTCCTTAGCCAGCTGGCCTCAGGGCTCCAGGCTACTTAGCTCCCATAACTGCATTCTGCAAATATTTGGACTAAAGTCATTCCTCTGCAAAACAACACATTCCCCATATACTTTCGTTTTGTTGCCTGTTTTGTCTCTGCATGACCACCATAAGTATCCTAAAAGGATGAACCAAAAGCTGGCATTACCTATTGGAAGAAAAATGGGTAAAAGGAAGTAGAAGAATGGAGAGGGAATTCTTTTCAAAAAGTGTCCCCCAACTATCATCCTTATTCATACTTCTTCTGACAACAACGTCAAGGAGGGTTAATTATTTACTCCGGTTAGCAGGTTAATGACCCAATAAGATTTTCCACACCCTTCACAGAACTAAAATAAATTGAGAAGTTATTACCCAGAACTCAGGCTGAAAACTTTTCTATTGATGTTATGGGAATGCATGAGGCGGTCTCCTCTCTAACTTACCCACAAGCAACAAACTGATAATGTGCCCACCCACTCCAAATTAACCTCTAAGAAAAAATAATAATCCTAAAAGGAGTTTCCCACTTAACCCTAATTCTGTAGACAAATGGCTCCATTCACTAAAAGACTGTCAGCTGGTAGATTTATTATTGAAATGATTTTAATGGGATATTGAACAAGTGCTTGTAACATAAAGCATCGTAATAACAGCGTTTCCGGGAGAGGAGATGGAATCACTCTCTTTGGGCATGCAAGCCAGATTGTTAAATTTAATTTAAGGTTTATTAGATGTTCATTAATTTGCCTGTCACCAAACCACTCCTTCCAGAGAGACTTTGCCATTGTTTTGGATGAAAAATAAAATTAAATTCTGCTCTGGTTCAGCTAGGAACACAGATATAAACTCACCAATTTTGCCGCATGAGAATCAGAAGAAAGAGGGCCGGCCACACTTCTTTAAAAGTATTTAAGTACTGACACCGGGTCCCAATCTTGCAAATACCTCTTTTTGGAAAGCAAAAGTATCAACATAGAAAGCTGTCTTATTCTGAATTAAACTATTCTTGTTCCCTTTGCACCTGACCAACCTGGGAGCAGCAAAGGGCCAACCAGCCTTCCTTTTGCTGTAAGGTCAGCATGGGTGAGAGGGAAGAGCAGGCCTGGGCCACTGCCATTACTGTATTCACACATGAGGTGGAGGAGGCAGTGGCAAACTGGGTGCAATTGAGGTAGGCGCTGCTGGCCAGCTGGCTGTAGCAGAAACAGTAGGCCTAACGTCAAGAAATAGGTGTTGGGGGGCACTAGGGTTGTCACCCAAGAGGAAAGAGGGAGGTAGCCCAAAAAGGTTTGGGGACCACTGGTCTACACTAAGGGTGGACCAATGTAGAAGGGGCTGTTTCCCCCCCCCCCCCATGCATTCCCTGCAGGCTCCAGGAGTACATTTTTGCTAAGCTGTGAGTGATGTGATGTCACTTCACTTTTCGATTTTAGTCTTCTTCCTCTTCCTCTTCTTCTTTTTTGGCCTTTGGGGGGCTGGAGGCTTTGGTGGATCATGTAAAAATCACTCCATTTTAAAAAACTTTTTTGAAGGGCCCAGGATCTTTAGGGATGTCCTAGAGACTGCAAAAAAGGGAATGTAGTTTCCTCACATCTGGCCTGCATTGACTCTCCAGGGAGATGCTGGGGATTGAACCTGGGGGTGCTGGCATACAAAGCAAGGGAGGTTCTATCACTGAGCCCACCTGGTTGGTCACTGGATCCTTGTGGAAGAGGAAGAGGACGAAAAAAAGGCTTCCAGTTCCAATTAAGCATAATTAAAGCAAGGTCTTCCTGAGCTCTGATGTATTCCTATATCTCCTTTTCTGCTCCTCATGCCAAGTTTAGAACTGAACAACACAAGCTAAGGAAGAAGAAAATGCAACAGGACAGACCCTCTGGACCTGACATTCAAGAGGCATGTAGATGTGGGGGAGGGGGAGGGAGAATGAGAAATTTGAGCTGGATGTTTTCTTTGTCATTCTGAATACTAGCAGAAATGTACCATTTCCGAAGGAAGGACACACTAGAATGGATCTGCAGAAAACCATTACATCAAGAGCTGGTAGCAAGATCCTTTATGACATAAATGTCTCCTGTCCCCAGATGTTCATGTTTCAGTCATCTGGAGACTTAAATGAGGTAGTTTTGAGTCTTTGGGGAAGTAGATTATCTGATGCTGAGAATCATACACTTTTAGAATTGGACTGTATCTTCAGGTCATCTAGTTCAACCCTTTGCTCAACGGAAAAGCCTCTAACTACAGCATATCTCTGTTGACCTAAAACTATCTTAAGTATGTGTGGCAATGGAGAGTCCATCACTGCCTTCCTGCAATTTCTGCCCAGTGCCTTAAAACCAACCTCACATTGGGAAAAGAAATCCACAGGGGGCTTCATTTGGTAGGGAGTCTGACCCACCCCTTTCCTCTGGATTGTGCTGTTCCACCACAAGAACAATAATGAATGCTACCTGCTGGGTCGAGAGAGATAGACCTGACTTGTCCTCATGTAGTAAATGAGAAAACTGGGAGAGAGAAAAATCTGTGATGTGAGCCACTGTGGGCTTTTTTCTTGTTATTGTTTTTGAAAAAGAATTGTGCATTTTCAGAAGTGTGTTGTGTGCATTTCTGTAAAACCTGCAATATTGGAAAATGCAATAACTGCTGCATTGAAATACAAGGAGTAGCACTGGATAACTTGTTTGTTTCTTTGTGATCACATCAGCCTCTCCTGTTGGGGTCACTGTGTATGTGTGTTGTTACCTTCAAAAAGGTTGAAGACAGTAGTTTTTCACAAAGGTAGGACTGCTGCACCAAGCATTTTTTGTACAGCATGATAAAACTAAAATACAGGTGGTCTCTCAGTGTTGCACTGAAGGCAAGATATCTGAAGGGAGTTGGAGAATTCTCAATATGCTTTCCCATTATGTTAAGAGGGCCAGTCTTGATTAAAATCACAGCAATGGCTAGATTTCTTCACACCCTGAAGTCCTATCCTCTGGACTCTGTTTGACAGCCCTTAAAATATTTGAAAACTGCTCTCTAATACCCCATATCTCAAGGATTTTTGGGGAATACTGCTCCCCAAGCAAATTATATCACAAGCCTTTAGATCCATCAGGATAGAAGAGGGTCTCCACCCACAAACTCAGCCAACCCTCAAAACACTAAGTGTTCCTGGCTTCATTCTTCCTCTTGTCTTTCCTCCATAGGGAAGATCACGGGGAAGCAAAGCCAGATTCCTGGATGAGGCTCTGTCTGGAAAAAGGTAGCACTTCAAACAGAGAGCCAATGAGATCAGTGTGGCCACATTCTCTAACATCATTCAGACCACACAGAGTCAGTGGGATGAGGAACCAGTTTGCTACCCCAAACAGGTTTCCCAACTCTGTATGAGGGAGTGAGACTGGTGCCATCTGCATGCAAAGCATGTGTTCTGCTGACTGAATAGCTCCTCACAGAAGGAAAAGAGTCAAAACATTCCAAAAAATGTAAGAAAGAAGAGGATAATTTACACAATGGTGACTAGAATTGGCTGTGAGTTCGGGGGTGCTTTGATTGTGAGCTCCTGCATGGCAAAGGGTTGGGGGGGTTGCAGACTGCCAGAAATAGTGCAAATTGAGTCCACTTTTAGGGTTAGGGTTAGGATTAGGGAATCATGGGAACTGTATTTTATTGTGGCATCAGAGCTCTCTGACAGAGAAGGCTCAATGTCTCAGAAAAAAACCAATTCCCATGATTCCCTAGCATTAACCCTAACCCTAAAAGTGGACTCAATTTGCACTATTTCTGGCAGTCTGCAACTCCCCTTGGACTGGATGGTAGGGAGACTGAATTACCTCCCAAAAAGTGCAAAAGATTTGTGTAGACATACATCGATTTATACACTAAATGTAAATTTCTCTTCTGTTCTGTTGCTCTTAGCCAATTTCTTAAGTGTGACTTTCAGCAAGTTCAACTGTAATATGATCTCACCTTGTTCATGTTCAGGAAGTGCCTCAAAACTATTAAGAAGTTGAAGTTTTTCAGGAGACAAACTTCCATGTGTGAAGACCATCTCGATCATATCAGCAGAGCAGGGTGGAAGGTGCTTGACATGTCTAGAGCTCACGAAAAGACATTTTCCCAAGCCAATTTTGGAAAATGGTTCCGTCAGCCTAAAACAGACCAGGGCTTTTACTTCCTTACGAAAGGGTTTTTTTTTTTTTTAAATGTGACTTGAGGAACTTTACTGAGTCCATTGGGGAGCATGCATCCCATGGGGCACATAATGAGAAATACTGTGACCAGATGACCTATGTGCTTACTGTCTCTGCCTGTTGCCTGAGGCAAACTAAGGACAATTGATTAAAAAAAAATTAATTGTTATAGCCAATTATAAAATAAACATTTTCCATTTCTGTTTACACTTTTTGGACAAGCAATTTTTATGGCCTTGTACTCCTTTCTTGTGGCTTCTTATCATTAAACCTGACTGGGAATGAACCTTTTCAACTAGTGGGTTGTCCTTTGTAAAATCAGACACACAAACAGCCTAGACACAGAGGCCTTCTGGGAGGTGACAGTATTGCTTTGTTTTTGTTGGATTGCTGG